TAATGTTACATTTAAATGACCAATTACAAACTTAATGGATTTTTGAATACAGTTTCATCATATTCCATTTTAGGCTTTCTTTTGTGTGTCAAAAGTAAAAGTGAATAATTAAATTTTATCACAATTTGCAGCAAAGATATTTAAATTGTTTCCTGTATATAACATATTATTATTTTAAATGTATTAATAAGAATTTTATAATTTTCGGAAAGTTTTTTCCTTACCAATTAAATAAATAAATATAAACTGGCTATAATCTCCCACCCCACGACTCTCGACTCTTTTTATCCCTGTCTTTTCCCTCTTTTGATTAGATTTCCTTTTTAAAATTGAATTGATTTTGAATTTGTTTTTTTTTCCCCCTTCCTTCCCTTATCAGTTTATATAATTTAAAGTTAAATTGTTTATACTTTCAAAAATCAAATGGCCCTAAGTAACTTTGCTCCTATGGATAATAATTCATTTTCACCATCATATCTATTTTCACCAGATTCAACTACAACTTCAACCCTTCATAAAGTTAAATTTAGTTTACTGTCACCAGAATCATTAACTTCATCTTCTAATTCCAATAGTAGAATTAAATTATCTCAATTATTAGAGGATGAATCAGAAACAATAGAATCTATTTGGAAAATGTATAATAACGCAAAACAAGCATTACCAAATCAAAAACGTATGGAAAACTTATCTTGGAGAATGATGTATTTATCCACCAGTGATAATAGTATTAATGATGATAGTGATAGTACTATCATCACAAGTAAAAGTCTTCCAACTAGACATTCAAGTACATCAGATCCAACTAATGATGACTTTGATTATGTTGCTCACTTAGCCAAGATTGGCGAAGACCATCATCGTCAAGCTCACTCAAAGAAACGTCCTAGCACTATTTCTCCAATACTACCATCTTCACAACCACAAATCCAAAGACAACCCGCTACTGCTACTGCTACTGGGAGTGGTGGTTTATCTCAATTATCAAAACAATTAAATCAATTCAATAAGTTTACTCATCCTTCGCAATCGCTTGAAAATATGATACCACAACACCACCAAAATAGGTATAACAATAATAGTCAACAACAACAACACCAACCACACAAGCCTACTCCACAACAACCAAAGCCTATCCCACAAACGTTCCGCCGCGAACAACATCAACAAGAACATGTTCCTTTCTCAGCTCCAGCTTCATATATCCCTTCCAAATCATTTGAATTTTCTTTAAATCCATTTGCATTGGAGGCGCCCCATGATAATAGTAGAAGAGACCATGAACCAAGTTCTTTCAATTCTAATGTTTCTTCATATGATACGAAGGCAGTATTTGACGACTTTATAGATGGTCCTAGCACAGTTGCATCATCCACCTCCACCACCGCCACAGTTCAATCCCACTTTCAATTTGATTCGTATTCTAAGCCAATCAGAGCCACACCTGCAGCCACACCTAATACTTTATTAAGGGATGAATCTTCCATGTTAAGTTTACCTGACTATAGATTATTGAATCAACAATTTGTTAACCAACCAACAACAACATCGTCGTCGCTTTTTGCATCCCAGCTGATGAATAGGGTTGATTCATCGTTTATTTCTTCATCGCCGGGATTAGTACTCACACCTATGTTACCATCACAATCTGATTTACATCTTTCACAATCATATGATATGAATTCAAAGAAGAAGAAATCAACTAGACCAAAAATCAAACGGGCTGATTCTGGATCACTTCATGTTTCATGTACGAATTGTCATACTCGTACTACTCCACTTTGGAGACGTGATCCGAATGGACATCCATTGTGTAATGCCTGTGGGTTGTTTTTGAAATTACATGGGGTGGTTAGACCGTTGAGTCTTAAGACTGATGTTATTAAGAAGAGACAAAGAAGTGCGAATGGGAATGCTAATGGTACAGGTATCGGGGCCACTCCTACTTCCACAACAACATTGTCTTCTTCAATTGGATCTAATAAGGAAGAAATTGCCAAATCTAGTATATCAAAACCAAAAGCATCAAAAATAAAGAGAAATAAATCAAGTATAAGATTAAGTTATGAAACTCATGAAGAGAATATAAATGAACATATTTTGAAATCACAATCATCATTTGATCCACCATCATCATCAAGTAATAATAATAGTGAATATTTTATTAATTCTCCAACGTTGTCAAGATATTCGGATAATGGAAGTAATAATGTCTTACTGATTAGAGAAGAATATAATCATGGTGTTAATTCTCCGGAGACTGGATATCATTTGGATTGGTTAAGTATGAATATGTAGGAAATTTGTAGATGTGTGTCTTTTACTTTGGTTTTTGTTGGTTTTTGTTTTATATTTTGGGTTTGTTAAGTTTTGGGTAGTTTTGTTGTTTTGCTGTTTTTTTATAAGTTAGTTTTTTTAAGTGATATAGAATGTAATTTGTGTATATTAATAGATTTGTCAAGCGTTTTTGATTTATTGTTTTGTAAATGTATCTTTATTGGTTGCAAAAAAAAGTGAAATGGAATTACTTAGATATGGAATGCAAACAATAGGAGAGTAATGCAAGATACTTAGGGATTCCGCTAGTCAACGGAAGAAATGCGTTGCGACAAGTTCAAGCAAATTTGACTAATGATCGATCAGGGTTACAAAGGAATTTATATCCTATTTTCTGCAGGACGACTGACTGCTAAAGATGAAATTTTCAAATTCAGCACATTAACTTATAATTATATAATTTAGATTCATCTACAAAGAGTCTACAACAAGAGGATTCAGGCTAATATTTACCGCTTATTCCCAGAAGTTACGATGAATCGTCACAAAAGGACTCAAACTCCGCTTCATAATCATCGAAAGGTGCATCCCGAGATGCACCCAAGCGAGCCAATGAATCCGCTTCCTTATATGCTAAGTTACCATTAACTCCTTTAACCTTAACCACTTTGATATTGGACCATCCTTTGGAAGCATAATGACTGTTTATCAGATCCTTTAAATTGACCATTTCTTGAAGCAAATTGACATTACCTATAGTATTACCCCGTGCAGTCTTCCATCCGTTTCTTCTCCATTTATTGCACCATTGGTTAAAGCATGGAACGGAATATTCGGAATCCGTAAGAATTCTAACCGGACGTTTGGCAGTCCCATCCATTAATTCTTGATTAACATTTTTTAAGGTATGGACTAGCCCGGCTAACTCTGCGTATTGAATGTTGTAACTCGCTGGCAGCGACGTATTACGAGTATCTCCTGGACCATAATAGACACCAAAACCAGCATTTTCACTGTAGAAATTTCTATACATCGCTCCATCAACAAATACATTCTGAACTTCTCCTCCTTTGGTCATATATTCAAGGGCGTCTGTTTCTCTATCAAACGTTCTAAATACAGGATTTTTGTATCCTTCAATTTCCTTTTCCCAATTGTACAGATAGCTATAAACACCAGGGTTGTGGCCTTCCAAAATCACGTAATATGCCATGATTGTGTTTATATTGGATAAATATCGAGAAATCAGAATGAGGATAAAGGACTAGTTATAAGTAGTTTTTTAATGTCATGATCAATTGCGTTTTAACCCAAGTCGACTTGATTACAAGAAGAATTAACTTTTTTATCAGTAAGGCGGGGTTCACAAGTCCAAGCTTAATCAACTGGCGGAGTAAGTTGTATTTGGAAATCAATTACACTTTTAGGATTTATGCTTTTCAGTACGCGTGAAAATGACGATAGGCAAAAACTCAAAATGGACAACCAAAGTATGATTCTATGGTTTACCAACTCAGATGTTAACCGTCAAAAGATCGAAGATTTAGAGCTAATCCTCATTCCTTTAAATAAAGACTAGGAAGGTGTTAAAAGGTTTCGAGTACACAACCACAAAAGTGATTGAAATATATAAGAAATTCCCGATTTGCTATCAAACGTTTGTTGCAAAACACTTGTATTTGTTTGAAACCAGATAAATTTGCAACCAAATTTGAAAGTTTCGCATGGCCCAGATCTGTTTTAACAATCCACCCTCTTCCCCTTGTTACAAGAGACCAAGGAGAGTTCACACCAATGAGCATTTTGTTTACCAGCACACATGCTTAATATCTCACATAGACATTCATCGCTAGATATTAGATATAAAGAGGGGAGAAATTTAAAGCGATGAAAGTTAAATTAATTCTGCCGAAAAATACAATCAAATGCCACGTCTGGTAGCGCCAGATGACACTGAGAACACATTGGTGTATTCACCAGGACTACTGACACCTATTTACAGATTCAACTTATCAGTATCAGTATATCAAATCCTTTATTCACCTACAAGCAATTAACAACAACGAGTATTAAGTGACGTCTAATAGAATTCATCATCCCAAACATCTTCCCAATAGTCATTAGACAGTTCATCGGAATCCCACGGGGCGTTTTGAGATGCACCCAAATTGGCCAATCTGTCAGCTTCTTCATTTGCTATGTTCCCACAATCTCCCTCAATGTGAATCACATCGATATTACTCCAACCTTTGGAAGTATACTGCTTGTCTATCTGATCTTTCAAGTTGACCATTTCTTTAATTAAATCAACATTTTCAATAGGCTCATGCCACACGTTCTTATAACCATTTCCCCTCCATTTATCACTCCAATCGTTAAAACATCTAACTGGATATTCCGACTCAGAAAGAATTCTAACCGGGCGTCTAGCAGTCCCGTTCGATAAAGCTTGATTAGCATTTCTTAATGCGTGAACTACTGCCGATAACTCTACACGTTGTTTAGTTGGTTTAATATCAGATTCCAAATACTTCGCTGTATTGCGATCATCATCTGGCCCATAGTAGAGTCCATAACCAGCATCTGGCCAATCGTCCATAATATTTACATGACAGGCACCACCCACAAACACATTTTCTATTTTTCCTCCCTTCGTCACATTTTCAAGGGCGTCCTTTTCGTTGTCAAACTCTCTAAATTTTTCATCAGTGAATACAACATTGTTGTATCCCTTAAATGACCTTTTCCAACACAAGCTGGTGTACACTCCTGGGTTATGGCCCTCCAAAACCGCATAATATTTCATTATTGGATTTGTTTTGAATAATGAAGAGAAAATGAGAATAAAGGAGAAAGGATTAGACCAAGATCAATTAACTTTTAACTTTCGAGAATATTTTTGGAAATAGGTGGAGTTCTCATTTCCATACATAATCAACTAAGGTTGGCGTTCTATTTGGAAATCAAGAGCCCATGTGTTCTCTGAGTCTTTCCAAAATGTATGAAAATAAGGATTGGCAAAAATCATAATAAAGATGAGACGGATGATTTATTGATTTACAAATCGGGATCCCCAATGTATTTCCCAAAATATTAAGGATACAGCTAATCTTTATTTTTTCTAAATGAAGAAAGTAACAGTGTCAAGTACATGGTTGGGAAAGCCATGTACAGCTATGGCTATGACAGAATGCTAGAGGTCTATTAGTAGTAATCACTGACTTTAATTACACCCAAATAAATTTGCAACCACTAACTATTTGGCACGACCCAATTCTGACTCAAACATACTCTTAGCTTCTTGATTTCTGGTTACAAACCCATACCATAGAGATCAACAAGAGCTCAGATCGGAAGTTTTATCGATATAGGAATTACAAGTCATATACCATAGAAGCAGTCTTCAATAGGAAATTATAATTGGTTTAGAGTAACATATTGCATTTCTAACGGCAACAAAGTTCAGAACCATCTGAGTAATAAGTTTCATCCGGAAGCCATTCACCTCGACCTGAACCCAGGTTGGCCAATTCGTCAGCTTCCTGATTTGCTAAGTTACCTTCCGAACGACCTTTTACTTGACTCACATTGATATCACTCCATCCTTTGGAAGCGTATTGAAGGTTTATCAGATCTTTCAACCTGACCATTTCTTGAATTAAATCTGCATTGACTATTCTTTCACGGTGGCAGTTCTTGTAACCATTTATTGCTCCATTCATTAAAGCATCTCACTGAATATTCGGAATCTGAAAGAATTCGAATCGGGCGTCTAGCAATTCCATCCAATAAAGCTTCATTAACATTTCTTAATGCACGAACTACTGCAGCTAACTCTGAACGTTGCTTGGATGGCTTATCCAATTGTTTAGCATCATTCAACGAAACAGCCGTATTACGATTATCATCTGGTCCATAGTACACACCATAGCCAACACTTGGATCGGTGCCCCTATTATATTCCCAACCGGCTCCATTTACAAACACATTTTCTATTTCCCCTTCCTTGGTAACATATTCGAGGGCATCTATTTCAGAATCGAACATTCTATATTCAGTATTGCTATATCCGTCAACATCTTTCCAATCGAAACTATCATAAACTCCAGCATTTTTGCCTTCTAAGACAGCGTAATAGTTCATTATTGGAGTTGTCTTGGATAATATGGAAAATCAAACATTAGAAAGGGATTTGCTGATTTTTATATCGCCGTCAAGATCAATAAACTTTGAACTCAACAAGACCTTTGTTAAAGTATTAGCTTTTTTGGTCAATAAGCGGGGTTCGTATGTAGTTCCTTAATCAACTAATCAGGTCGGTTATATTTAGAAATCAAAGGCACATTATATCAGATAGTCTAGAAATAGAGAGGAAAGGCTTTGTTGCAAAATCTTCAATTGCATTCCTGAAAGATTCCAGTTCAACCTTAGTTTGGCACTTTCACTCGACCTACCTGCGGGTCAAGCAATTTTTTAATCCGCTTGCCAATTCATATTGCAAAAGATCTACAGTGACCCAGCAAGAGTTCACTTTGACTAGAATTTGATTTAGCATTCGGAATTATTCTCTTAAATAGACATCATTTGCTAGGTGAAAAGAGCCCAGTAGTTCAAAAGATGAATGTCAGAAAGGGCCATTAGAGTACCTTTGTTGCAATGAAGAACATCGGCAAGCGGCAATTTAGCTACATATGATTCTTTAGAGGACTACCTAGGCTTATTTAAAGGTGGAAAATATCATTTTCAGCATATTGAGTTATATATTCATTACAGTCAGTCTACTTAAAGAAGCTTTAAGTCTTTCAGTCTGGTGCTCATCACCGGATAGCCGATATTATACTTTCTAAGAATCCTAATTTCAGCTTGAGCTGCACCCAAACTGGCCAATCTGTCTGCTTCATTATTTGCTAAGTTACCAGAATGAGCATTAACGTGAGCCACAATGATGTTATGCCAGCCCTTGGAAGCGTAATGACTGTTAATAAGATCTTTCAAGGTGACCACTTGTTTAATTAAATCAACATCCCGTATAGTACCACCCCTAGATTTCTTCCACCCATTTTTCTTCCATTTATTCCCCCATTTATTACAGCTTTGAACAGAAGTTTTAGAATCCGAAAGAATTCGAACTGGACGTGTAGCAGTCTCATTTAATAGGGATTGATGAACATTTTTTAACGCATGAAGTACCGCGCATAACTCTGCACGTACATTGGTTGCTCTAATATACGAATGCAACATCATCGCCGTATTGCTAGCATCACCTGGTCCATAGTAGACACCAAACCCAGCAGCTGGCAGGCGACTATTATCCCTTCGGCAGGATCCATCGACAAACACATTTTCTATTTTTCCTCCCTTGGTCACATATTTGAGGGCATCTATTTGTGAATCAAATCTCTTAAATACAGCGTGTTTGTATCCGATAATTTCCCCTTTCCAATCAGAGTCACTATCATAAACTCCGGGGTTGCGGCCTTCCACAATGGCGTAATATGGCATGTTTGTATTGGTCAATTTAGGGAAATCAGAAGAAAGAGAATGAAGCTGGCACTTTTTTATCTCACCAAGGCTGCAAACTTTTAACTCAATAAGACTTTACTAAGTATTAACTTTTTTTACATGCAAGGCAGGATTCATATGTCTATATTTAATCAACAAGTGGAGTGGGATCTACTCGTTTTTGAAGAACTCATGTGATCTTTGTTCCTTTCACAAAACCTGCAATCCAGAGTTTCTAGTGATGATTCAAATTCATCTCCATAACAAGCCAACTTCTTCAAAACGTTAAGGATCTATAACCTACCTTAATTTATTTAAACACGAACGACACCAAGCTAAGCACTCAAATAGAAAATCTATCAATATGGATGAAATAGAAAGTCTAGAAACATCAAACAGTTGTCTCTGGTGCAAAGCACTATCTACCTTTAATTACATCCAGATAAATTTGCAACCAGTTTAAAAGTTTGAGTTTTTTGCACTATCCAAACCAGAGCTACCATATATGGCTATAATATTCTTAGAGTACTCTCCAGTGGTACTAGCTTCTTTTTAAGGATCGAAATTTTCAATTTCAGGATACTCAATTATATATTTATCTACAAAAAGTCTACGTCAAGAAGGTATAAATGGCTCACCCGACTTATCAGTTCTGTTACCTATGGTAACTACAAGACTGGAAACATGGCATTTCAGACGAATCCTAGCTTCTGCTTGATTTGCACCCAAGTTGGCCACTCTGTGAGCTTCATTATTTGCTAAGTTACCTGAATGACTTTTAACGTGAGCTACATCGATATTGGACCACCCTTTGGAAGCGTAATGAATGTTTATCTGCTCTTTCAAGTTGAGCATTTCTTGAATTAAATCAACATTACGTATGGTACCACCCTTGGATTTCTTCCAGCCGTTTGTTTTCCACTTATCACCCCATTTATAATAGGTGTGAACACAATCTGGAGAATCGGAAAGAATTCGAACTGGACTTCTAGCAGTGCCATCCAATAAAGCTCGATGAGCATTTCTTAATGCATGGATTATCGCCATGAACTCTGCACGCTGAGGAGTGGTTGGCTTAGTACCCAGTTCTAAAGGCTCGGCCCTATTACGATTATCATCAGGTCCATAGTAGATACCAAAACCTGCAGAGGGTATGCGGTGTGTATTATTATGCCCTCGACAGGATCCATCTACAAACACATTTTCTATTTTCCCTCCCTTTGCCACATATTGGAGGGCATCTATCTCTGAATTAAACTTTCTAAATTTAGTATTTTTGTAACCGAGAATTTCCTTAGTCCAATTGGACTGTTTGCTAAAAACTCCAGGGTTGCCGCCCACCAAAATAGCGTAATATTTCATTAATGGATTTTGTTCAATAATAGAAACGAAAATAACGAGAAGTGTTGGTTTTATAACTCACCAAGATCAATAAGCTTTTAACTCAAGACTCCTTTCAACTAGTCTGAACTATTTTTTTAGTTTGACCAAATTCACATGTACCCACGTAACGAACAAGTGGAGTAAGTTCTATTTGGAAATCAAGAAATTATGTGCTATTTATGCTATCTAATATGTATGTATAAGAGTGGAAAGTGTTCAGTCGAAAAAGTAAACTAATTGAAGTGGGGGGAAGGGCGACAGTTCTAGTTAGTGCACTGTTAGTTGAATGTATGTGTATTGGATGAGAGCTCTATATAAAGCTATTACGGAGGCTCTCGTTGTACTTCCTTCCAGATCCTAATTTCAAAGAACGGGGAAACTTACAGGTACTTTTCTTTGTCAGGTGGGACACCGTCTGTGCTCTCAACTCAACCATCCTTCAAACGTGACACCAATCCTGAAACACAACTGATGTGAAACCAATTTGTGTGCCAAATGCCAAGAAAGAGCCAAGCATGTAACAAGATATTTTGGGAACCGCATTCGGATTACTCTCATAAGACATTCTGCAGTTTTAAGTTTCCAATAACTTCCCCCAATAGGAAAGTACGAAATCACACCTTACAGTATGACATGGTTGGCAAGAGAGATAATGGAGAAGGAAGGCATGATTCGAAAGGGATACAAAATCAAAAGTTTAATCAACAACCTTAAAAGGTTAATGATCTAGATCTTGTCTTGATTATTTTAAACAAAGAAAATATCAGTCCAAAGTACATAGATCCCATTGCTACGGGAACCATTAAATATTAAACAATCTTGAAATAGTAATCAATGGTTTTGATTCAATATAATCACTTTCTATTGCAGACCAGATCGATTTGCAACCGTTTTGTAGATTTGAGTATTTCACACGACCCAGATCTGAGTCAAATAATTTTCAAAAATTCTCTTTGCCAATTTTGGTGGTGTTGCAAAAGGAGAGACGGAAAGGATTCCCATTCATTAGCATTTGATTCATTAACAATTAGACGTTGTCTTGGGAACTTTAATACTTTTTAAGTTATGATTTCTCCTTCAATTGAACAATACCCCAAAATAATTATCCAATATTGTAATAAATGCAAATGGCAAAATAGAGCAATATGGTATCTTCAAGAAATATTACAAACATTCCCAGATAAGATTAATGACATCTCAATACAACCAATAAATGACCAACCAGGTGTATTCCAAATTATATTATTGAAGTCACATGATGATCAAGAGATTATATATAAACGAAAATTTAAGTCTAAAGAATTAGCTGAGAAATATGGCGATTCGAATGAAGAAAGTTATCATTATGATGGATTCCCAGATTCTAAGTTTGTTAAGTTGTTGATCAAAGATCGTTTAGGTCTAGAGGTTGGTAAGCATATCGAGAAGAAGCTGGATTATAAGTTGAATGACGGCTGCGTCGACTGCAAACGAGAAGAATAGAGATGTCAATATCCCAGACAATAGAAAACTACAATATACAAGTCTATCTACATTATTTTTAAAAATCACATAGTCTATTAAATTAATAGGTTTATTTAGTAGTTATACAAATATTCATGAACTGTAGAAAATCAAACTTAAAACATCAAAATAAAGAATTATAATAATACGGAAAAATGGTGGGTAAACTGGCCCTTGCTTATTCAATATCATCACCAAAATGATGTTGATAATGTTGTTCACCAATATCATCCCATCCATTTGGTGCAACAACATATGGCAATGAAGAACCCAAACTTCCAAAATAAAGAGCATTATTAGGTAAACCTAATAAACTTTGATATTGTTTCATAACGAATGTAGGAGAAATATTTTTGGGAGCAGGTTGTTGACCAGCAATACTAGCGCTTCTTGGAGTAGCTCCTTGACCTTGTTGATAACCATATTGGCCTCCTGCAGCGGCAGCTGCTGAGACATGGGAATTGTTATTCGAAGTTTGATTGATTTCTTTAGTTATTTGTTTCCATTTATGTTTTTCTCCAGCAACCAATAATTGTCGTAAAACTTGAACATCATGTGGACTGAACTTAGCAGTCAATTGTGGATTAGTTGGAGGTGGATTAGCAGAAGCTCCTGTACCCGATATAGGTGTTGATTGAGTGGAAGCATTCCCTACAGCAGGACTAGCTGACTGATTTTGATTTTGATTTTGACCCGAAGCACCGCCTGAAGCATTGGTGCTTGGCAGGTATGAATATCCTGCAGTGCCTGTAGAAGCTGGAGGTGGTAGCATTGTATTTGTTATTGTATTTGTTGGCGAGGTTGTTGTTGTTGTTGTTGTTGATCCGAATCTAAAGTCTGTAAACACCGAATTAGTTGAAAGTGAAGAATTTGTTGTGTGGAAGCCGGAATAATCTGTCTTATTAGTCTTGTCAGTAGTGTTGGAACCAGTATTTGTAGTGGCAGTGATATCGATATTGTTGTTGTCTTTTGTTTGGTTTGAAGATGAAAACATTTTTTTTAAGAAAGTTTATTTTTCTGTGTGTGTGATTATTTTGTGTGAATTTTTTGTGGGAAATTTGGAGGCAGAAATTTCTTTAGTGAATGAAAAAGAGGGTCGTGGAAATGTGAGTGGGATTATTTTGTTTGTCTGTTAATTATAAATTTGTATGTGAGAGACTTTATTTTTGAGTTAAAAAATAATTCAATAATGAATGACCATAAAAAATAATATCTCAATAATTAATCTTGAAGGACTCTAGAATAATTTCAACAATGAACAACAATTAGGGACAATTAGGGATTGGAAAATTTAGGGAAAGCTTATGAAATTGCAATTTAAAGGACGTTGAAGGAGATGACTGAACTTACGGAACTGTGATCTTGTCATTAATAAGAATGCTGTCCGCTTTAAGGAATCGGAGAATGGCAATGCTGGATTGTCAAAGTCAGACTCTAGTGATTGGGAGCTTATCTAATGTAGAAATGGTTGCAAAGATTTGGGAAACTCTTCAATTGGAAGAATCAGAGGCTAAAAAGAATAAGACAAATGTAAAATTAATTGTAGAAAAGGGAATCACAGGGGATTTATACCAAGACTGTTGTTCTTACATTCATTCTAAAGATAATCTATCTCTACCTCTTTACCAGGGATTTGTTTACCAAGCAAATTCCCTATTTGTACACAAACCCTGTCGTCAGCAACTGCCATTCTTAAAATGCACCTCAAGCTTCATCCTGTATCACAGTCCTAGGTTCCCTTTCGCACTCCCCAGGGCCGAATTTCTTCTACTCAATAAATCTATAAGTTTAAGAAACAGGGATACGGATTCTCCGCCATGCTCTCCGTTTTGAGATTCATATGAAATTTGTGGCTCATTTTGATATTTTTTTAACATTCAACTCGTAAATGAACAAATAATAAAAATGACACAAAGATACTCCTTTCCCCGTCTAAATGTGGAATCTTAGATTGCTCCGGAATTAACTAATTAGAACTTTCCCTAGATTTTCACTAACCTTGGACTACAACTTCCAAAGGATAGTCCTTTCAACATATTTTCAATCTTTGTTGTTATATCGTTTCCCCAAAACTATCGTTCTAGAAACATGTACCAATATTTTCTGAAAATATTTTTTAACTATTTTCCAACGCCAAACTTAATTTCCCACACTTTGCATTCTTTTTTTTAGAGGCGGAAATAATAATCCCTCGAAAACAATATACTATTTCTTTCTATTAAAACTATACAAACAATAACTCTTCTACAATTACAATGCAGATGCATTAATAACGTGCCCCCATGTTATATTTGGCAACACCCCAAGGAGTGAATGGGGAGAACAAAACAACCAAAGTAAAGCAAATATATCTAGCAAACAAAACTACCTTGCCTTAATCCTCTTCATATTCATCATCGTCGGATATGATCTCAATATCAGAATTTTCATCCTCTTCTTCACTATCAACAAGAGTGTAAGTTATCTTCTTCAGCGCTCTTTTACTACCAGCACCTCTTGGTTCAACTACCTCTTCAACCATGTCAATCTTCAAGTCTTCCAACTCGTCCAACATGGCCTGCTTCTTTCCTGGCTTCTTAGCAGGAGCCTTTTTTGTCACTGGTGGTGGTGTGTCCTTGTTCTGTACAGGACTTGGCTTCTTTGAACTCTTTGAAGAAGACGTTGATTTCTTTGGGGTTGAAATTGGGCTTGAACCAAATATGATATCATCATCATCATCACTGTCAAAGAAAGTACTTGCTGGTTTCTTCTTGGTTGATTTGGAACCACCTCCAACTGTCTTAGTGTTCGACTTTGGTGAGAAGAAAGTCAAGATATCATCTTCCTTCTTTGGCTTTGTCACAGGTTCTTCCGAAGATGCCAATTCTGGAGATTTGGATTTACGTACTGCAGCAACAACAACCGGTTCTTCTACTTTAACTTTCTTCTTTGCTGGTTCCTTTGCAGCTGGCGCCTTTCTAGTTCTCTTCTTCTTTTTGTCACCTCCAGAAGATAATGATTCACGTTCATGTTCATCACGGATTAAGAATTTATCAAATTCAGCTAAGAACTCATCCAAGTCGATACTCCATAAATCTTTAGCACTCTTCAGTAACAATTCATTCAATTCGGATTCCTTTTGATCACGCTGTTTCAATAATTTCAAGTAACGTTCATTAGTCAATGACCAAATCGTCATACCCAACAAATATTCATATGCTGAAAAGATAGTATCTGGAATATGTTCAGTTGAATTCCTATCAGTTTCGACTTGTTTAAGATTCAATGCCGAAACGTCACCTTCTGCCGCTTCTGCAATTTCTTCTTCTTCTTCATCTTCATCATGTAAGAATAATGATTCCTTGATTGGCTTACCTTGTTTATTGAATTTAGTGAAATTATGTTGTTCGAGAAGTCCAACCAATTCCTTCTTTTTCTTATTTGCAATAGATAACTTTTTGTCAATAATCATCTTAATGAATCTTGCTTGTTCACTTAACATCAATAATTGATTTTGTAATTCTTCCGACATGAAATCTTTTCTCTTTTGATAAAACTCTAATCTAACATAATAATAATCACGAAGGATTTCCAAAGCATCATTATATCTCTTGATACGTCCCAATGGATCAAAGGCAACCATATTACCCAAACTAATAGAAGATATCAACTTGAATCTTTCCAACAAACCAATTTTTAATGATTTAGCCATCTCAGCATCATTTAATTTAACAATAAATCGAATTGAAGTAGTATGATGTTCTTCCATATCCTTAATCCAAGCTTGTGTCTTTTCATTCCCAAACCCAGCCAATAAGAATTCTTTAACATTATTAGTCCATGTCTTAACTGGAATTTCCGTTATTTCAACAGTATTATTATCAAGTTGTTCAATTCTCCCAGAAACTTTATATTTTTGAGGTCCATTAGGTTCAATATCACCAGTCCAACCTCTATACCATGGATGCATTTCTTGTAATGCTTCACCATTCATTAATCTACGGATATTATCCACAATATCACGAGGATTGTAGGATGGAATATTGGTAGACCAACCGGTTCCAATCCCTTCGGCACCATTGACTAAAATCATGGGTAAGACAGGTAAATACCACAGTGGTTCAACTGTTTGTTCATCATCTTGGACATAGGTATATAAGGGGTCATCTAAAGGATTGAAGATCTTTCTTGTAATTTCATTAATTTCGGTGAAAATATATCTCGCAGCTGAGAAATCTTTACCACCAGCAGCACGAGAACCGAAGGAACCATTTGGTTTTAAGATATTGATATTATTAGAACCAACGAAATTTTGTGCAAGACCAATAATTGTTTGAATTAAGGATTGTTCACCATGATGATATCCGGTATTTTCGGAAACATAACCTGCCAATTGGGCAACTTTGATTTCATTTCTTAATTTCTTCTTATAACAACCAAACAAAACCTTTCTTTGACCCGGTTTTAATCCATCAAGAACGGATGGGATAGATCTAACATTATCAGACATTGAGAATAAGATTAATTCCTTATTAATAAAATCACTAATTGGAATATCATCCAAGTTTGGATCAAGATGGGTTCCCGGTAAAAACCCCTGAAGCCATTCCTTTCTATCGTCGGCTTTCTTTTTCGAGAATGCTAAATCAATCAAATCTCTATCATCACCTTGTAGGGCATGGAAACGTTTTAAATGTTTATCCAAAGCCGAAAAATATTCACGAGCTTCAATGGGGGTGGAAGTACCCAAACCCTTATAATACTTTTGTGTCCAACGACATTGAGTACCTTCATTATCTCTCCATTTTTCAAATTCTGGCATATTATAGAATGGAATCACGGTATTTCGAGCATTTCCTCTACCTTTGATAGTAACTTTAACAATTGGAGTAATGAATTCAAGTAAGAATCCTGGAATATCTAGTAATCCAGGGAATGAAGTTTCAAAGAAATTGATAATCAAACCTTTAATATGTGAACCATCTTGATCTTGATCGGTCATAATCATAACATGTCCGTATCTTAAACTTTTGACATTTTCTTGATTATAAACTTTCTTATGTTGTAAACCCATAATTTGCTTCAATGCATTAATTTCGGCATTTTTGGCAATTTGATCAGCAGAAGCTTCACGAACATTTAATAATTTTCCTCGAAGTGGGAAACATCCATATAAATCTCTACCCACAACTGAAAGACCAGCCACTGCCAAGTTCATGGCAGAAAGACCTTCTGTAAGAATAAGTGTACATTTGAATCCATCTTTTGTACCGGCTCTATTGGCATCTACTAAATTGACTTGACCTTTGATACGATTCTTACGACTACCATCAGCTTTTTGAAGGGCTTTATCTTCATTTGCTCTTGAGATAGCTTTGATTTTATCTACAATACTGGTTTTCAATATACGATTGATCAAGTTTTCACTAGCGACGAATTTATCTTTACCACCAAATTGTGAAACTTTCGTGGTTAATTGTTCTTTAGTCTGTGATGTGAATGCTGGATTTTCAATCAAACAGTTTAAGAAAAGGAACATATGGTCTCTGACTTCTTGAGGTCTAATCATAAGTTTCTTCTTACCTTTTTCCTTTTTAGATAAAGTATCTACTAATTTGTTGATGATTTGATCAGAAACGTATTTGGCATGAGTACCACCAGAAGTAGTTGCAATGGAGTTGACAAAACTCACTTGGTTAAATGTACCATCACTAACAGCAAACGCAATTTCCCATCTATCATTAAAGACTTCATGAACGATTGTAGTATAATTCTTCATTTCACCACCTTCTCCAATTGAAGGCTCTGGAGTTCTTTCTTTAATAGCATTAACATACATTTCAACATAACTTTTAAAATTTGAAATTGCCAATTTCTTATCATTAAGGTAAATATTACAATTTTTGACCGTACCACATAAATCATAAACTCTTCTTCTTAAGACGGATAAAATATCTTCATCTAAACTATCCATATCGAATTTAGATAAATCTGGTTTAAAAGTAATCTTGGTATATTCTTTTTTAGTCTTTAAAGTAGTAATCTTAGGTTTACTAACTTTTGACATATTATCAGTCCAAGTTTGTTTATACAATTTCTTAGTATTTAAATCTGCAGTTTCAACTTCAAACATAGTTGAGAAAATATTACATAATTTAGCACCATACCCATTTCTACCACCAGTTACCTTTTTTTCATTATCATCATAATTTGAAGATGTCAATAAATTACCAAAAATCAATTCTGGAATATACATCTTTTCCTTCGTATGCATTTCAATCGGAATCCCCTTCCCATCATTCATAACTTCAATAAGATTATTTTCTGGATCTATTTTAACTCGAATATTCTTCATAGTAGGATCTCTAATCTTATTATCAGCAGCATTCACCAAAATTTCATCAAATATCTTATATAACCCCGGAACAATTGTAACTTCTTTATATTTCATTGATTCTGATTCAGCATCAAAACACCACATTTCAATCTTGGTTTTTTCAACTGATCCAATATAAGTATCTGGTCTTTTCAAGATATGTTCTAATTGAGAAAGTTTCTGATATGTTTCAGAAGCACTTGTTTTGGAATTGAATTGAGTTGAGGCAGGGGTATTTGATCTAGATGAGGTGGCCGTGGATGTATTGTTTGTAGAATCTGACAAGGGGGGTTTAGCTGAGCCATTTTTCTTTATGGGTGGAGTTGGAACGAAATCATCTGATCCATCTGAGTAGTACTCAGAACCATCTGATTCAATATCTGACATCTTATCTTTGATGCTATTAAAGAAAAGAAGGAAAAGAAGGGAGAGAGGGAGTAAAAGAGAATTTGGTTGTAAAAAATTGATTTGGTTGTAAAAAAAAAAACAAAGCTCAATGTTTACATCAGAAAAAAGAAACGCGTCTTTAATTTTATCAAACTTTGGTTGGTTTTTAAGACAACCAAGAAATGGCTGCGACAAGAGGCTCTTAAGTTACATACAGTTAAACCACTCGTCTTACGTTGGATCGGTCACTGAAATGAGCAAGAATAGTTAAGCACAAGAATTGAATATGCTAGTCTGTCCAACAACTGACTCTCTCTTTTGTAGATCATGTAGTTAGGAGTCACCCTAACTAGTTTACAGCGTTACTCTCACGAATCCATCGGTGTAGAGCACAGATTCCCGGTAGCTTAATCCCACGGGATTGGACTCTACTTCTACATGAAACACAATAGTAGAAGACCCTTACCATTAGATTTAAACTGTCAAAAAAAGGACCACTATTATACAAAAAAACCTATTTACTTCATAATGCTAATGGGGATTGACCTTACCCAATCTAAAGACTATCTCTCTCTTATTCTATTTTCTTCTTTTGAATAAATCATTCTGTATTCTTTCAAATTCATCATCACTTATATCTTTAGTTGATGACGATCTCTTTTTACCTCTTTTATCACCACCATATTTACTTTCTAAAGTAGATATCAAATCATCCAATCTATTAGCTTGACGATTTCTTATTAACGATTTCAAATCACCACCGTTTTCATTCTTTTTTGCATTACTTTTGATTAACTTTTCTAATTGTTCAGCTTCTTTAGCTTCCTTAGCCAATCTTTTTAACATCAGTTTTACTTTAGTCTTTCTAGATTTCTTATATTTTTCCCAGGATTTAATAATCGATTTATCAAAATCAGGTAATGACTCCATATTAGACATCATTTCAAGATCAATAATTTTATATACTCTTTGTTCTTCAAATTCATTAAATTCTAAATGTGGAATAACCTCAAATAATTTCAAGAAATCTCCATCATAATAAATGAAATTCGATATAATATCTTGTTGTTCTTCTTGAGAATTTTGATATTTTAATTTATCTTCTTCAATCATTTCCATCGTGATTTTTTCATTTATTGATTCAAAATAATCTTTCCAATCAAATGAATCTTCCATGTCTTCATATTCTGCCAATGATCCAGTATGATCATATCGCTGTCTTCTAATTGGATCATTTAATATACTAAAAGAGAACTGTATCTTGGCAAAGGTGTCGGTATTATTGTTATTATCATCGTTATGGTTGATTTGTTGTTGTTGTTGAAGTTTATCCGGATGGAATTTAAGACATAATTTTTTGTATGTTCTTTTGATTTCTATTGGTGTTGATTCTTTTGACACCCCTAGCACTTCATATGGATCTATATCTGGAAATGGTATTCCCATTTTGACGTGTCTATCTTACCTTACTTGGTTAATTTGTAGATAGTAAAGTATGAGAAAATAAATAAAAATTTAAAATAAATTTTCTACTTTAGTAATGAGTTTGTTTGTTGCTTTGTACTGCGTAAGACAAATTAACCAACATGATTTCATTTCCTCCTTAAAAATTGTTAAATACTTAAAGTTACATTAAATAAAAAAATATACAATTAATAAGAAAGTAATACAAAAAAGGAAAATACATATAATAATAATAATATCAAAAAAGAAAAGCCAACAATAACAAATACTAATAACAATCTAGAAGTGTAAATGAAAACAAAAAAAACAACAGTAAAGACGCAGGGCCAAATCATTCTAATGGGCTTAATCTCTTCCCTTCTTTTCTTTACTATTTGAAGAACTGGTATTCTTCAAATGTTCAATTTCTCGATAAGCTCTTTCTAATTCTTGTTTCAATTTCTCATTAGAAGCACTTAATTCAGAAACAGCTTGTTCAGTCAATAATTTTTCAAGAGTCCATTTTTCAATATTATTATTTTCATTCTCTTTTAATCTTTTAATATATTCAACAGCTCTTTGTAAGATTTGTGCTTTGTTAGTATCAGTAGTTGGAATCAATGAAGCCAATTCTTTAATTCCTAAATTAATTGCTTCGCGTCTTCTTCTTTCAACCTCTTTATGATTCTCTTTTCTTTGTCTATGCCATTCATCAGAACCATGTTGTGGCTTAAGTCCTTGTGGCACTTGTGGTATACTAGTTTGTCTAAACGAGTCAGGTTGTTGTGCTTGATAACCATATTGTTGTTGTTGTTGAACCTGTTGTTGTTGTTGGGCCTGACGTTCAGCTTGTTCAGCAGGAGTTTCCTCACGATGTTGTTGTTGTTGGTCTTGTTGTTGCTGCTGTTGTTCTTCTTCAGTACGTTCACGATCTTGTTCAGCTTGTTCACCTTCATTGGATGCAACAGCTGCAGCTACGGCTTGAGCAGCTGCGGCAGCTTGATCGATTTCAACATGGTTTTCTTTATTTCCAGCACCAGGCCCACCAGTAGAATTTTGAGCATATGAAGATTGTTGACCTAATAATTCAGAATCAATTGCCATCTCTTCTTTCTTTGCTGATAATTTCATTTTCTTATCTGAACGAATACGTTCTTCATGTTCTCTTTTAGCCATTTTGTATTTATTTATTTTACTACTAAAAATTTTGTTAGTACTCGGTCGTGCTGGCTGGCATACTTCAATCCATGGTTGTTATCATTGGTTATTAGCCATTGTGGGTGTGTTGTTGGTTTTTTGGTTGTACAAGTATTGGGTGCAATCATTGGGTTTTTGTCACATGGTTGGGTGGTGCCCCTCGCGTTGCAGCAATAATAATTAATACAAAACATAAACACTTATTTCAAAACACATCAAAAACAACAACAACAACAATTGAAATAGCCCTTCGTTTTTTTGGTGGTAATTATACTTACAATTTGTTTATTTATTAACTTAACCAACGAATTTGTTAATTATTTATTTATGTGGATGATAAATGTAGAAATTATCAATAAAAATATCTTTGTCTAATACTTAGCAAGTCAGGTGTTAAATGTCACTGACTTTTAATCACGTTTTCTTTTGATATGTTTTTTCAATGAGAGAAAAAATGAAAGGGAGAGAAAATGACGAAATTGGTGAGGCAAAAAAAAAAAACATCACGAGGTTTTTCTCACATGAGTTTCACATGACCACGTTCATATGCACATCCGGGTAATCAACCACGAGAATGCACCTGATTTTTTTTCTGTTGAAACAATAAGGATAAAATTAAAAAATGAATATTTTTTCTTGACACGGACCAACCCCTTTCCCTCGAGAAATTTAAGGAGATTATATTTTAAGCGAGTCCCGCATAAGCATAGTATTAGGTGTCAAAACCTTTCATTAAAATAATAATATAACTTTCAATTAAAAATGAATGATCAAGTGATTAATAATTCAAGGGTCGAGGAGGAGGAGAGTCCTGACAGCCTAAGCGCATATATTATGAAAGCTTCGATAATAATCCGCCTCGTCATCATCCCTTGATTATTAATAAATTATAAAACGTCCTACACAATTCACGGATGGACAATGTCATGATGTTCAGGCGAGTGAAACCGTTAAGACACCGTTTCATTCAAGTCTAATCAGAGTTACCTGTTGCATAACTCTGAAAACTGTAACCTTAAATTTGATTTGGCAAAAGAAAAAAACTTGAAAAATTTCTAAAATTCTTATGCGCTTAGATGGAATTCCATCACCCAATATAACAAAGAATATGCGCTTAGGCAAACTTATGCTCTTAGACAGTCTTTTTTTAGAAAAAATGCAACCAAAATACTGATCCCCTTACACATTCGGAACAATCCTTTCCTGTTAGCCTTTCTTCTTATTCTAAGAAATATTTCAGATTTAGTTTATCAGGGTTAATTAATAATAGACATCACTCCACTCATCATTCATTACAAATTTATAATTAAGTAATTTTTCAAGTTCTTACCCACCAAGTGAAATATAAATACGCTTTCAAATTCCTTTAATCTGATTTCTTCAGAATCTTTTGCAATTCTTTTTATTTCACCAAGTTCAATTCATTTAGAACAAACATAAAACAATTAACAAACAACAATGTCTGAAGTTACTTTAGGTAGATATCTTTTCGAAAGATTACATCAATTAGAAGTCAACACCATCTTTGGTTTACCAGGTGATTTCAACTTATCCCTTTTAGACAAGATTTATGAAGTCCCAGACATGAGATGGGCCGGTAATGCCAATGAATTAAATGCCGCTTATGCTGCTGATGGTTATTCTCGTATCAAGAGATTAGCTTGTTTAGTCACCACTTTTGGTGTTGGTGAATTATCCGCTTTGAATGGGGTTGGTGGTGCTTATGCTGAACATGTTGGTTTATTACATGTTGTTGGTGTTCCATCAATTGCTTCTCAAGCTAAACAATTATTATTACATCATACTTTAGGTAACGGTGATTTCACTGTTTTCCACAGAATGTCAAACAACATTTCTCAAACTACTGCTTTTATTAGTGATATTCATAGTGCTCCTGGTGAAATTGACAGATGTATTAGAGATGCTTATGTTTATCAACGTCCAGTTTATATTGGATTACCTGCTAACTTGGTTGATTTGAAAGTTCCAGCTTCCCTTTTGGATACCCCATTGGATTTAAGTTTAAGACCAAATGATCCAGAAGCTCAAGATGAAGTTATTGAAAATGTCCAAAAATTGATTTCTGAAGCTACTAACCCAATCATCTTAGTTGATGCTTGTGCTTCAAGACATGATTGTAAGAAGGAAGTTGAACAATTAGTTGACTTAACTAACTTCCCAGTCTTTACTACCCCAATGGGTAAATCCGGTGTCAATGAATCTCATCCAAGATTCGGTGGTGTTTATGTTGGTACCTTATCTCATCCTGAAGTTAAACAAGCAGTTGAAGAATCCGATTTAGTCCTTTCCATTGGTGCTCTTTTATCTGATTTCAACACTGGTTCATTCTCTTATTCATACAAGACCAAAAACATTGTTGAATTCCATTCCGATTATACCAAGATTAGACAAGCAACTTTCCCAGGTGTTCAAATGAAAGAAGCTTTACAAGTCTTATTAAAATCCGTTCAATCCCATATCAGTCCATCTTTTGTTCCTGGTCCAGTGCCAAAGGTTAAATTAATCAATACTCCAGCTCCTGCTCATACTCCATTAACTCAAGAATACTTATGGACTAAGGTTTCTTCATGGTTTAGAGAAGGTGATATTATCGTTACCGAAACTGGTACTTCTGCTTTTGGTATTGTTCAATCCAGATTCCCAAATAACACCATTGGTATTTCTCAAGTTTTGTGGGGTTCAATTGGTTTCACTACTGGTGCTACTGTTGGTGCTGCCATGGCTGCTCAAGAAATCGATCCAAATAAGAGAGTTATTTTGTTTATTGGTGATGGTTCATTACAATTAACTGTTCAAGAAATTTCCACCTTATGTAAATGGGAATGTAACAATACTTATTTGTTTGTATTGAACAATGATGGTTATACTATTGAAAGATTGATTCATGGTATGAATGCTACTTATAATGATATCCAACCTTGGAACAATTTAGATTTATTACCTTTGTTTAATGCGAAAGAATATGAAACTTTAAGAATTTCTACTGTCGGTGAATTGAACAAGTTGTTTACTGATAAGAAATTTTCTACTCCAAATAAATTAAGAATGATTGAAGTTATGTTACCAAGAATGGATGCTCCTGCTAATTTGGTTGCTCAAGCCAAGATTTCTGAAGCTACTAATGCTGAAAATTAGAGTATGATTGTATAGTTGATATAGATTTAGAGTTTTTTTTATAATAGTTAATAATGATATAGGTTTCTTGTTTTTTTGATAATCATTTTGTAGATAACTTCGTAGTTGGAATCAGGAGAAGCAAAAATGTAACCTTCAATGAATACTGAGCCACATGTAGCTAAGTTTCATACAAATGGAAATGTCTCTTCCGAATTTGTCTTGTCGAATACTTAAAAATTTTGCAACCTGGTTTGCAACCATGCGATTATCTGTTGCCAAATGTAGAAGCATAATGCGTGAGGAAGGAAATTCAAGGTATTTACTTTGTATGAACTATGTACAGGCATCATTCTCTTCAGTTTATAATAGTAGCCTCTATTACTAATTTATTAATTAACTATGCATTAAATACTAATATACAAATATACACATGCAAAACAACTACTCAAACAACAACCACAATAACTAAATCTTAAGCTCTCCATTCAGATATGACCTCTGTAATTCAATATATCTACTCACCTTCTTCTCATAAGTATCCCATTCATTCTTCAATTTATATAAATATGGTTCATATTTAATCGGTCTAAAATCAGGTACTTTTGACATTAATTTCGCCGTTGATTTCCCAAATGACAATTGCATAATTTCCGATTCATGTAATGAAGTGAAAGATCTTGCCGTGACATATTGCATTAATAATTCATCCTTATTTAATAATTCTAATAAATCCTTTTCGTTCATTCTTGTAACTCGACTAACTTCTTTATTGTTTAAGGAAGTTTGGGGTCTTTTTCGAATATCATACCCCTGTCCTTGTTTTTCGAGTCTTTTGACCTCTTCTTCAGTCATTTGGTAGGAATAATCGAGGAATGGAGTATGTTCGGGATCCAGCATTGCGTGTTGGTTATAGGTATGGTATTTATTCCATCTGGTTCTATCTTTGAGGAAATAGAATAAATCTTCCTCTCTGACCCATAGACGTAATTTGGGGATAAAGATATGTCCTTGATGTTTATTCGAAGACATCCCTCTTGAATATTCACGAGATAATAATGAAGTATATCTTTGTGGAATATATCCGACTTCTCCCTCTACTACTGATTTAATCAAGGGGGATATTTCTTCATAGCTTGAAAAATGATTGTTTCTACAATTATAAACCTGTAATAATTCATTTTCAGGTATATAATTCTTTTCATCCTTCTTAAAACTTGGAGGTAATCTTCTTTCATATTCTTGTGGTGGACGGGAGTTACTTAATGCCAAAGCCGTGATATCAATATATAACCCAGTATCAACATCAATAAACCTCGCATCAATATTATTCTTCCCATTCCCTCTTTCTCTCAAAGTAATAAATGTCCCACAATCCAAAAAATATCTCCCAAATCCATCTTCAGGATCTTCAACCACTAACGTCTGATTATAATTCAATGAAAGTTTATGTAAATCCATAACCGGTACTTGAACATCAATATCATTATCCCAAGGAAATGCCAATCCATTCCAATACCAAGACAACAAAGACCCATGGGCAATCCAAGTAGTTATACCGGTTTTCCTTGTAAATGATAACCAAACCCGAATTAATCTATGTAAGGTCAAGGTTTGTTCATATGATTTATACATTATTCCACTAAAGAATCTCCAATCGTAATGATCTCCTACTAAATTATCAATCATTCTTGCTTCGTCTAAATATTTGTCAGGGCCGCCGTTGCTGACTTTATATGATGAATATTGGAGTGATTCGAAATATGCAAGTTCTTTGGTGGTGAGGACGTCTCCACGTTCAAGACGTCTTTGATAAGCGAGGATCATTTTCTCACCGTTGAATTTAAAACTATCTTCCGGAATATGGATTTCATAAGCATTGATGACTTTACGGGTGTTTGGAGAATGGGCTTTTGTTAATCGGTGGAATTCTTTTAATGTATCTAATTTGAATGATTTCCGTTTGGAAATATAACTTTCAGGGATTTTATTATCTAATAATTTCTGATTTCCTTTGATTCCAGCAGTGTAAAACCCTTCTTTGGTCAAGAATAATATTGATGAAGGCGGAGGTGCATATGAATATAAGAATGATTTCCCGATAAGCTTAGATTTTAATTCAGTTGTCTTTCCTGGATGTTTGAATACATTGAACCCAGGGTGGACTTTATGACCATCATCATGTTTATGGGGTAATAAGATATCAGATCTACACCATTCTTTGGCTGGTGGGGTGTTTTTTATAATGGGATTATCTTCTCTTTTTTCAATACTTGATTGGGATTCACCTTCGATGACATCTCTCTTTTGATTTTGAACTTGGTTGTTGTTGTTGTTGTTGGCTGGCGGTTGGCCGTTCTGGTTCTCGGCAGGTTTAGCTTCTCCTTGTTGTTGTAGTGGCTTGACTTCTTCGTGTTTGCTTTCAGCCTGTTGTTGCCCTTCTTGAGGTTTACCTTCTTCCGGCTTGTTCTCAACTTGTTGTTGACCTTGTTGAGGGTTGTCTTTTTCAGGCTTGTTTTCAACTAGTAGTTTCCATCCTTGAAGATCGATTTCTTCCGGCTCGTTTTCAGCTTGTTGTTG